TCTGTAGTGAATGTGTGTTGCCTAGTAAAATGGTACAGTAAGGTAAAATAAGCTTCGAAAGGACCATCTAAATATTTTATGTAGTCACTTTGGTCATGTGGAGGTGAATCGCTTTCACTTCAATTTTGTGTGAATAAGCCGACATGTATTTTACCCTGTACATGTACACCAGAGGTTCCTTTGCTGAGAGGCTTTTACTGTGAATCAGCTGTAGGCAGGTGCACCGAAGTATTCACAGTAATCTTCCAAAATCCACCACAGAACAATTAAAATAAAATACATTGTTTGGAACACCAGATTTTGTCTGTATCTGCTCATTTGGAGACATTTTATGTGTCGTTTTCTTTAATCTCATTGTTTTAAACCTGCCTGCGTCTTGCTGTGGCGTACAGAACCTCAAAACCTCTTGGTTGTTCATATCTTGTGGCACAGAACAGCAACTACATTAGTGGTTTCTTCAAATTCAATAAGGAGTTGCCACTATTTCTTCACTCCATCTCTTCAGATACAGATCAACATGTAGGCTGCATTAATATTAATTACGCAATCAATTATTAATATAGCATTTAAAGTTGCACTGATGGCTGACATGTACTGGTCGATCTGGCAGCAAATATCTTAATTAAATCCTCTATTAAACACTGGCTGTGTGTAAGTAAACATGTCATAAAACAGTATTAGACTGTATATGAACAGATCTTGAAGTTCAGCAAACACTAGTATAACTTGTAATGAAGTATGATTCAAAAATCACATGACTGTTCAGTACTGATTCAAAAACTCATGACAAACTGACTTAATATTTAACAGTTTATTATACATCATTGTGACAATAACAAAAACAAACATTTCCTGTTTTGTAACCTTGGCCTTCGACTATCTGTCCTTTGGAGGATCCTTCTTTTTGCGTCCCATCCGATGCCTGTGAACAGTGAAACAGGAGGAAATTCATTTTGACCAATATCTACGGAGGGATTTTTTTGATGAGCTGACAGATTTTCTTTTAGCTTTTATAGTTATAAACTGCAGGAACACACCTTTAAGGTACAGTTGAAGAGCTAAATAAAAAAATGACTACAAGACGCTGCAAGTGTCCTTACTAAAGTGACTGATCTAATCCTGATAAACCGGCACTGTGTCCATACTAAACCATGACGTTACCTTGTGAAACAACTTGTGGAAATGGTCTAAAAAGCCAGTGGTGGTAAGTTATTCTGCCATGAGAATAACTATTCAAAGCTAAAGAATTCAATACTGAGCTAGGAGAAGAAGTGGGTTATTTTTTCTACTGTTTAAGGGCCTGTGTCCACATGGCGGTTTTGTCTAGCAGAAAAACGCTGGGGAGAGCTGGGATGAAGCACTTTTGCGGTGAGAGAAAAAAAACCCCACATGGATTTTGTTTCTATAACGACAATATCGTGACAACATCTAACAATTTGCATATTAGTTTAACAAACGTGACGTGGTTGTGTAAAGCAACAACTGCGAACAAAGCAGGTGGAAATATCGCTTTTCTACTTTTTACTGGAGTTGTCCTCAACCCCCTTCACTTCATCCCGTTCACTGTTTCCCACCTCTGCCAGCTGTCTGCTATGTGTGTAGGCGCTGAGCCCGACCTCAGCAAATAATAGAGAAGAGAAGAGAAGAGGAAGAAGAGAGACGAGAGAGAGGAATCTAACACGACCAGAAATGGACAGCAAGAACACTGTAAAGAAATTTCTGGTCTCTGTTTTGATAGTTTCATAAAGCTCGGGACAGTGTCAGAACAAGCTTCTCCTCCATTTTCTTGGTTACCAGGGTGACAAATCCCCCATCTAATATACATTACTACATTGAATCAACTAACTCAAAACAGCTGTGAAATCGTGTACTGGTGGTGTCCCTTGTGAGCGCTGTGTCACTCGTGTACTTACCGTCCAACCGGATACCACCGGTGTTTGGTGGTGAAAAACATCTTGCTCAGCTCCTCTATAGTGGGCCCCTGCTTGCCCTTCAGCACCTCCTTGCTGAGGTGGTCCTTTAAAACCTGGTCGTGGGTTTCAGCCTGGTTGGTCAGGGGGTCCGGCCGTTCTATAGGCTGCAAGGATTTACTGTCATTACATGGTCCCCTCTCACATATTTTATTATATGTTCATTTCTATTATACTATTTCCATCCATGTTTCTGATATATTTCTAACTGATGTACATCTGTGTCATAATCAATGAGATCAGCTAACATACAGTAGATTCTGTCATTAAAGAACAAACACATTGATATTTATGAGGGCAGAAAGCACTCTCTTACCTGGGTAAGCTCATAGGGAATGTCGACAGTGGGATGGTAGCACACTATGGTTTTCCCATCTGAAGTCACACCGATTTCCACGTTACTAAATCCAAGAAATTGGAAGGTTATTACCCTGATCAAATCTAAGAAACTTATAATAATTAACTTTGAAAGAGGAACAGGAGCCCTATGATCACACACATTTACTTATTAAATATAGTGAGTAAAAATATTTTTACACAAATACACAAATACTCTTTGTAATGTAGTAATTAGCGTTATAATTAGTAGGTTTTAACACACAGGCAAAGCACATAGCTTGGATTTATAACTTAAAAAACTGCCAGTGTGTCCCCAGAGGTCCATTTAGACAGGCAGACCACATGAGACCAACAAAACAGTGACCACCTTCTCCTCATAACACTAGTTGCAGCCCCTTTTCTGCCATCCTCTATTTCTCCTTGTTTACCTCTCATTTAATGTAACAAAGTCATATGGCATATCAGGAGGAGTGCCACAGCTACACTAAATATAGAAACACTTCTTTAAAAAGAAAAAAAAAAAAAACTTATTTTGAATTCAAACTCTTAACATACCAGTTACCATCGATTAAAGGACCACCGGACATCTGTCGCACTGGCACCAAACATGCTGCAGCAGAAAACCACACAGATATTACACAATTAACACAATTAACAAACACTTTTAAACTTCTTGGCTAAAAATGATACAAAGCATAAGATTAAACCCTAACCCTAACCAGGTAGGGCGTTTAAAAGCATTAATGGAGGGGGATACTGAAAGTTGCTGGGTCCAATAAGATAGCTAACATGTAAACAATATTATTTCTATCAGGAAATGCTGGTTTGAGAGTGGAAACATATTTAAAACGAGCCAAACTAAGTGTTTACCTACCAGCTGCACATACTCTCAAGGTTAGCCCCTGTTAGCTTCTCCTGCTACCTTCGTTACCGGATATAACCGGTGAAGTGACACTGACCGCCAACAAACACTGTGTTTGAACTGATATTAACACTACTTACTTTGTGCACTTCGTGGCGCAGCGCTGGTGGACAGTCTCGTTAAGAGGCCGTGTAGTTTGCACAAATGACCCGACGCCATGCTCAGTTATTGTCGGGTGTGCAGCACTATAATGGTTCCGTCTCAGCGCTCGGACTCACTCAGCTCGAGTTCCACCTGTCAAAACGACCAGTCATATAAAGAGAATCCAAACCATTTACATTTACTCAATCCTGCCATTTTACATTATACCGATGGACAAACTGCTCACTTATTTGAAAACTTTATTTAATCAAGACACATTTATTATTAAAAACATTTTTTGCTCCCATTTTTATTTCACAGGGCTCGGTAATGTATCCTCAAGGCAAAATCTTAGCTCCACTGAAATGGTTTCCATTTTAAATTTAACACTCCGCCCAGCTTCAGATGGCAAGATTTTAAATGGCATACAGCAAGATTCAAACTGGATTAGAGTTAAGAGATTACTTAATATTTAATATAAACTATCTATTTTATCAATCCAGTCACAATTTTTGATGGTTATTAGTGTTTGAATAGAGTTTAGTTTTTATGAAACTGACCCCAAAAGTCCACCACAAACAGAAGAGCTAACAGTAAGAAATCTAAGAGGAGGATGTAGTGTCTGCAGCACCAGGTTGATCAGTTTGACCTCAGAATCATGATGTACCTTATCCGTCATTCACCAACTGAGGGCTGCAGATTCCAAATAACGGT